TTTATGATATTATGATGCAAATATATATATATATATATATATATATACCTAATAAAAAAGTTATAGAGATAAAATTAAAAAATAAGTATAGAAACAAAAAGTAGGATTCCTTCATTGTCGGAATTTTGTGATGTAAATTAAGTTCTTATCTTTGGTTCGGATCGCAAGGTAAAAACTATATTTTTTGAAATATTACTCTTTTAAAAGCAAATTTTATTGCCTTCATGGCCACATCGAAATGACGATTGTCGCTTAAGTAACTATTAATGTTTCCACTTTGACATCCACTACAACAAGACAAATATTTAGTGGCAATATTGGTTAACGCAAAAATATTTAGTGATAATTGAGTTAATGTCACTACATTGTTAAAGCATTTAGTGACATTTATCTAGAGTATTGGTTATAAATACTCATATTTATTATTATCGTTAATATAATATAACGACAATTATATTATTATCGCTAAATAATTACCGCGAAATCTTTTATTTGCCGCTAAATATAACGACATGCATACAAGCATCTAGATGTACACAGATATCATACACGAACTTAGTTCGTGTGTTAGTTCTTCTGATTTTTGAACCCATTATTAAAAATTCTAACTCCGCCACAGCATGAAAAGATCATCTAGAAGCCATTAAACAAAGATGCACATTTTGCACGTTTAAAAAAGGAAATATTAATAATTCATTGAAATTGTACTAGGTTTCATCTTCTTTAATTTTTCGACTTCTTTTGCTTTTACGATTTGAATGAAATAAAATGATTTATTCAAATCTTCTATGTATAAAAATAAGAATCATTCTTCAAAAAACTCTTAATTAATGGTAAAATACGTAATATTTTGAAAATATAGGTAATAATTAATATAGGGAAAAGGCTCAAATATGCCATCGAACTTTCAGAAAAGGCTCATTTATGCCATCCGTTAAAAATTTGGCTCATCTATGCCATTACCGTTTAAGAAAAGGCTCATTCATGCCATTATTTTTTAACGGTGGTTTTACAAAACCATTTTTTACACGTGGCCAATTATAATTCGGCCACGTCATTATTTTTTT